AAAAAAAAAAAAAAAGCACCGACTCAGGCATGCGTATATGCTCGTCCTGAGTTGCTTGGACACGAAATAATCTATATATTGAATATATATCGATATATATATGCCTACGGTTTACCGGGCAGTTCTGTTTGTGACGATATATATATTTCTTAATTATTGTATATTTCATCTTGTTCAGCAGCATGTGAATCGCCACCCCCATTTCTTCCATGGCTATGCTGACAAACTCGCGCTTTTCCTGATGCGTTTCGCCTGGACGGTGTTTCGCGGACCCAAGACCTGCGGGACTTATCGAGGGGTGTTCCACTCTCCCAAGACCCGCAAGACATTCCTCCCTGAGCAGGAAGAATAGACAATATACAGAATATAGAGAATAGAGAATGGAGAATAGAAATGAGGGGTCGTTCCACTCTGCCAAGACCCGCAACACATTCGGTCCTGAGCAGGAAGAATAGTGACAAACAGTGAATAGAGAGAATAGAGAAAAGATAATATGCAGAATATAGAGAATAGAGAATGGAGAATAGAAATGAGGGGTAGTTCCACTCTGCCGAGACCCGCAACACATTCGGTCCTGAGCAGGAAGAAAAGTGAGAGCATATGGAGAAAGCAGAGAGAGTAAAGAGAATATAGAGAATATGGAGAATGTAGAGAGAGAATAGAGAATGGAGATTATGGAATAAAATTGAGAATAGATAATGGAATGGAAGGCCGATCCACTCTCACAAGACCCGAAACACATTTCCTCCCTGAGCAAGAAGAACCTAAAATAAAGAATACAGAGTAGAGAATAGAGAGTGGATAATAGATACCAGAGAATAGACTAGTAGAGACTAGAGAGTAGAGAATAGAGAATAGAGAATAGAGAATTGAGAATAGCAAAAAAGGGAAGTCGGTAACCATCCATGTATTGAGAGCGTAAGCAGAAGATAGCATCCAGACGGACATAGCAAGACCCGCTACACCTTCCTCCCTGAGGAGGAATAAGAAGAATAGTGACAAGCAAGGGGAGAATTGATTCCAAACATGCTTGAGACAGAATGATACAATGTCAACCAGCATGTTTCAGAACAAAGCTCGCGCATCTTACCCCCTGAGCAGCAGGAAGAAGAGTGAATAGCGAAAAAAAAGAGTGGACATAGACTGCGTGAGCAGCAGGAAGAAGAAGAAGAAGAAGAAGATACGGCCACGTATACGGACATAGCAACAAAAATTCAATTTTGTTAAAAGATTTTGGCTGTATTTGACGTTGCCTCAAGGATATGTTCCTCATCATCATCTTTTTTAGGCTAGTCAGATCATGATGGATAAGATGAAAGATGAATTCTTATCATTTTCCTCGTTTTCTTCATCATCATCATCATCATCATCATCATCATCATAAGCATCATCATCGTCATCAACCCCCGATCATCATCATCGTCATCGTCAGCAATCCTCGATCACCATCATCACCTCCACCGTCCTCACCACCACCACCACCACCGCCACCACCACCACCACCACCACGACCACCACCACCATCATCATCATCTGATCATCGCCATCATCATCATCACCATCATTGTAAAACCATTCGCGTCGTCATCATCGTCCTGATCGTCATCATCATCATCATCATCATCATCATGGCTGGCGATTGATGATAATTCATAATTGATGATTGATGATTGATGATGATTGATGATGATTGATGATGATTGATGATTGATGATGATTGATGATGATTGATGATGATGATTGATGATGCTTGATGATCAAGCGGCTTCTTTGTGGCACATATTTTTTCCTTGTTTGGTCCGGTCCTGCTGTTAATTGATGGATTGAGCAATTTTAGCTCAGTTGGTACACCACCCATGGAACAGAACGGGCGGGCTTACCTCAGTTTTTGTACACCACCCATGGAACTGTTGAAATACAGACCAGAGTTCGAACCCAGATGCAACTAGAATCAAATTCTTTACTTACCTGGGACAGGTCAGTCCGACGATGATATCATCAAGGCCATCGCGTTTTTTTTTTGGTTTTGTTTTTCCCTTTTTTAAATGGAGTTACTGACATTCTTCTGTTTTTTTTTGTTTTTTTTTCCCCTTTTCGTCTAATTTTTTTCTTTTCCCCCTTTTGTCTTTTTTTTTTTTTTTGAACTGACATCTACTTTTCTTTGTATGTGTTGAAGAAACAGATAAGAACGAGGCGCAAGAGGCCACTTGCTTTCTGCGAGCACAAGATAGCAAAGTGACACTGGTTGGTTTTTCCATATCACACTGCTCCCCTCTCCCTCCCCTTCCCCCCTCCCCCCCCCCCC